GTAGTCACCTGGAATGCATTTCAATTAATAGGTGTGCCTGGGCTGCCCCTGCCCCTAGAGAGCCCTGCCGATAACATCAACAAGATGTTGTTCAGGCTTCTTGGGGAATGTCGTGAAGAACAAGATGGGGAAGAAGAAGAGCGCTGGACCTGCAGGTTTGAGCTCCGAGGTCACAGCCGCCTGCACTGGATCCAGCGCATCTCCAGAGACCCGCACAAAGGACCTGAATACAGAAATCTGCGCGATTATGAAGAGCCTGCTGGACTCCCGCATGGCCACTGCCTCCACTGGCAATCAGGCACTGGCGCAGCCTCCAAGGTCCACGGGAAGATGCTCACTCCAGAGACCCTCCTGAAGATTGAGACCCCAGCTGCATGGGCAAAGACATGTTGGTGAAGAAACCTGAGATCTTTGAGCTGATGACCACAGGAGGTTGGTGGCACCTTAATTTGGGAGGACGGGCTTGTGGTATTGGCTGGAGTGGAATAAGTGGAATGGTAACAAATACATCAAACACATGGTTTCCATGTGTTTGATGCCATTCCAATCGCTCCATTCCAGACATTATTATGAGCTGTCCTCCCCTCAGCAGCCTCCACTGCAAATGACATACACCTGGGCGACTGCTGTCCAGCCCACCTATTGCTGTGGCTACTCCTGCTATGCTGCGCAGCCCGTGTACTACAACACATGTAGTTCACCAAAGTTCAATCAGGAAGGCTGGTCTGTATGCTCTTTTAATTTCATCCCGTAAGCATTGCATAATTCACTCAGTTTCCTATTATACGGGCATAGTGGGAATGAATACAAACGTATCATCATCAGCATAGCGTCTTGTTTCTTCTCCTCTTTCCTATTAGCCATGTGCGGAATGTCATTCACCTATTTACCTTATAAGCACGGCACAATAATGCACATTCCTCATGCTTGCTGTTCAACCTATGGGCTCATTCTTGCAATTATCACCTTCCTTTCTCTCAACCAATGGGCGTAATTTTGGGTATGTATTTATATGTCAACTTAACCATGTTCTCACACTTGCTGTTTTTCAGCAACAGTTTTCGACAACCATCCACCTCCCCACCATCACCACTAGCTATTATAACCTTAAGGCCTGTCATAGGAACTCCTTTCCACCAGTGGGAGATTTCGATACCAGCAGCCCCGCATAGGGCTACCTGCCATCACATCATCTGGCTCGGAGGATCTTCCCTCGGAGAGGAGGTAATTCCCCAAACTATTTAACTATTTCATTGCATTCCGTCTTTGTTGTTCTTTCAGTTAAGCCTGTACTCGATTTAACTGGATGAGCTACCCCCAGTACGGCTATGTGTACTGAGGAGAGGAAGAGGAGGAGAGGAGAGAAGAGGGGGAGTACCCTGAATGAATACTTCATCATCAAGTCCATCATCAGGGCAGAAGCTTTGTCTTACATGAAAAAATGTATAAAGCTCTAAAGGAGTACAAAAACATCTCCAAAGGCCCTATTTCTTTCTGACAGCTATGAGGTTGCAGGTCTATAAGTCCATGCCGTGCACATACAGTGGGGTTTTAATGACTCCAACCTAAGTGTATGTAAACTTCCAACTTCAACTGTAGAATTGTAGGTTAACGATTTCTTAACAGATCATTTGGGCCTGACATTTAAAGCATGCTAAATGGGGTTTAGTGTAGGACTAACAATCAAATGTAAAGACACATATGCAATTTGGTTGTATTATCCCTGTAGCATTGTTGAGAACATAGTATTAATTTATTCATGTAATCGGCAGATTGTTAACTCTTCTGCAAGCTGCTCCGTGGATGGTTCCTCAGACTCTGATGTCACTGTTACCCTGACACAAAGTACTAACAGAAAAAGGGAAGCAGAGGAAGATTGTGCAGCCAAAGTAAGCCTTTCATTATTTGCTATGATTGTCTTTTTTATAATTAAAAACTGTATTGATCTTCCTGAGGTTCCATCTTTGTGATGTTGGGTTGGCCTACTCCCGGAGAGTTACTTAGTATGTAGGCTTTTTCCAGTCCTGCTCTTATTGACTTCAATCATCTTGGAAGATCCTAATGTACAGCTTAGTGATATACAGTGGGGGGAAAAAAGTATTTAGTCAGCCACCAATTGTGCAAGTTCTCCCACTTAAAAAGATGAGAGAGGCCTGTACTTTTCATCATAGGTACATGTCAACTATGACAGACAAATTGAGATTTTTTTTCTCCAGAAAATCACATTGTAGGATTTTTAATGAATTTATTTGCAAATTATGGTGGAAAATAAGTATTTGGTCACCTACAAACAAGCAAGATTTCTGGCTCTCACAGACCTGTGACTTCTTCTTTAAGAGGCTCCTCTGTCCTCCACTCGTTACCTGTATTAATGGCACCTGTTTGAACTTGTTATCAGTATAAAAGACACCTATCCACAACCTCAAACAGTCACACTCCAAACTCCACTATGGCCAAGACCAAAGAGCTGTCAAAGGACACCAGAAACAAAATTGTAGACCTGCACCAGGCTGGGAAGACTGAATCTGCAATAGGTAAGCAGCTTGGTTTTAAGAAATCAACTGTGGGAGCAATTATTAGGAAATGGAAGACATACAAGACCACTGATAATCTCCCTCGATCTGGGGCTCCACGCAAGATCTCACCCCGTGGGGTCAAAATGATCACAAGAACGGTGAGCAAAAATCCCAGAACCACACGGGGGGACCTAGTGAATGACCTGCAGAGAGCTGGGACCAAAGTAACAAAGCCTACCATCAGTAACACACTACGCCGCCAGGGACTCAAATCCTGCAGTGCCAGACGTGTCCCCATGCTTAAGCCAGTACATGTCCAGGCCCGTCTGAAGTTTGCTAGAGTGCATTTGGATGATCCAGAAGAGGATTGGGAGAATGTCATATGGTCAGATGAAACCAAAATAGAACTTTTTGGTAAAAACTCAACTCGTCGTGTTTGGAGGACAAAGAATGCTGAGTTGCATCCAAAGAACACCATACCTACTGTGAAGCATGGGGGTGGAAACCTCATGCTTTGGGGCTGTTTTTCTGCAAAGGGACCAGGACGACTGATCCGTGTAAAGGAAAGAATGAATGGGGCCATGTATCGTGAGATTTTGAGTGAAAACCTCCTTCCATCAGGAAGGGCATTGAAGATGAAACGTGGCTGGGTCTTTCAGCATGACAATGATCCCAAACACACCGCCCGGGCAACGAAGGAGTGGCTTCGTAAGAAGCATTTCAAGGTCCTGGAGTGGCCTAGCCAGTCTCCAGATCTCAACCCCATAGAAAATCTTTGGAGGGAGTTGAAAGTCCGTGTTGCCCAGCGACAGCCCCAAAACATCACTGCTCTAGAGGAGATCTGCATAGAGGAATGGGCCAAAATACCAGCAACAGTGTTTGAAAACCTTGTGAAGACTTACAGAAAACGTTTGACCTGTGTCTTTGCCAACAAAGGGTATATAACAAAGTATTGAGAAACTTTTGTTATTGACCAAATACTTATTTTCCAACATAATTTGCAAATAAATTCATAAAAAATCCTACAATGTGATTTTCTGGATTTTTTTTCCTCATTTTGTCTGTCATAGTTGACGTGTACCTATGATGAAAATTACAGGCCTCTATCATCTTTTTAAGTGGGAGAACTTGCACAATTGGTGGCTGACTAAATACTTTTTTCCCCCACTGTAATTGTTCCACAGTTATTGTAGGCCTATCTGAATATACAACTGGAATTCTGACCATGCGTAATTATGGCTAAGACTGGCCTATCCTACTTTAATGTATAGATGATATACGCAATTTAACATCGGTTACACTGTACTAAAGACGAGGAGAGAGGACCCTAGATTAACACTTTTCTTCAAAACTGAAACATAATCTTACATTTGTTTTTCAGTTACATTATTTTTGCTATTTCAATTCAGCAAGGCAGAAGCCTTGTCTTAGTTTTCCCCCAATTACATTGTTTTATTCAATTACAATATTTTATTTTTTCCAATTACATTTGCATTTTCAAATTCATCAAGGCATTAACATTGCCTTACATTACTTTCATTCATCAAAGCAGAAGCCTTATCTTGCATGCAAAACTATAAAAATAAAACTCTGAAAAGAATTTCAAAAATCTCTCTTTCTTTTTTTTATAAGGTTGTTATCCTATATTATAAGTTATGGTATCATCTGAATGTAAAAGCTGAAATTCTGACCAGCATCAATAGTGTTAAAAAGGTTCACGCAAATAATTAAATATTTGACCTTAGCCTAATCTAATGATTGATATGGATGTTTGTTTGCTAAGATGTAGCCAACCAAACCTACATTAAAAGACTGGGCCAAAGCTGTGTCAAATAGAAGACGAGTGCGTGCCACTACCAATTATGTGTTTCATCGTTTATATAGGCTACTCATTTATATGCATCTTTGTGCGTATATATATATATCATTGGGTTTATATACATCATTGTCCACCCAGTCAGAAGACTTCACCACTGAGGATTTTAGGCCAGGGATACAGCAGGGTTAGTGCTATCCGGGATCCTTGGGCCATCACTACACTACACTTAACCCTTACCCTAACCTTACCTCTGACGTCACCCTTTCAACTTCGATAGGGTGACGTCAGAGTTGGACGTACAAAGGAATCCGAATAGCAAGGACCGAGCCAGCAGGGCTTTTATGGACAGGGTAGCAGCACCCTCATGTGGCTGAAAAAATTACCACAGAGAACATGACGACAGACAGCAAAGAGATGCCAATCACATTACGTCATACACTTATGCAACATGATTGGTCGGCGGTGTAGGGATAAACCCATGCCTGATCATGTGACGTCAGTCGTATAAATACTTAACACCTCGCGCCATTAACGCAGCCCTAGTTTTTTGTTGAGGGAAAATGTATCGTCTTCGCCCACAGTCTTTCTCCAGGATAGCTTTTAATTCCTTTCTCTCTACCGTGCCACGGGAAGATTGTCAATTTATGAGACAGTTTAATAAAAACTGGTCGTGTATCGGCTGATTTTTGGTCATATTTTCATACTTATCTGCACGAAAATGCCAAGGTCCAAGAAGAGGAGTTCTAGGGGTAAGCAAGTCGCTACAGACCGGTTGTTTTGGCCTACTCTCGTCGTTTGAGTTTTATGCGTTGTAGGAGTTGTAGTTCTATGCATTCTTACAGCGTGTTGAGATCATAGACAAGTAATGTCTGAGAGGACTACAAAACAGTGTGGCATCATTAAATATGTTTATCGTTGACATCAGGCCAAGATCTTTCAGACAAAGAACTCTCGCTATCTGACAAAGAACTCTCAATATCATATTGTTTGCCGACATTATTGTATGAGTATTGTGATTTATAGAAATGACATCCGACACAGTATTTTTAAATTGACGTTTGAAACGAATTTGTTACCTAGCAACTAACGTCAGCTGGCCAGTGTTGCTCATATTTGTTAGTTTTTAGCGAGTTCACTTTGGCTCCCTTCCTGTAAAAGGATGGGTGTTTGAGTACACGAAGTTTAGTTGGAAGGACGCCACAACATTTGAGTGAGGTCGACAGCCGATGAAGTCAAATACTGGGCGGATTCGATTATGCTGAGCCGCGGGGAATCGGTCTATGGCCAGTGACGTCAACGGGCAAAAACGGTGAGGGAGAAGCGCCTATCTAAAATGGAACAGTTATCTGCGCCGCTCGGTCATGTTGTGCATCGGGCAGCATGGTGCATCGTCCAGAAACGTACAACATCGCTTTTCCATAAAATACGTTTGAATTTTTTAACTGGTTTTCATTGGGCAGGCAGACATTGCGTTTTTAACAAAAGAAAACACGTTTGCATGTGAGAACACCGAATCCTACTCATTACTGCACTTGCTTGATTACGTAACTTTAGTTTTGAGCCGTCTTCGCCGTGGAGTTTGAACGGGACACCTGGCTCACGCCCGGGAGGCAGCCCGGTTCCAAAACTAATGCAATCAACGTTCACCCGGTGTAAAACACGCCTGACCGGGACAGATTAATCGAATCCCCTCATGGTTATATAACACGCTGGACTAGCTACCTAGATAGCCATGCTAGCTAGCTAACCAGTTATTCACATTACAGCAAGCTAGCTACATAACTTGCACACGTTATAGTGCCAGCTATGCTATAAAGCAGGATCGTGGTAGGCGACTAGCTACTTGGGTGGCGTCTGCCGCTTTTTCAGAATCAGTTGTTCAGTGCTGTGGTCTGAGAAGGAAGCAATGGATTGCCACGTGAACATGGTCACATTTACACACTGCAGAGCAGACAGTGTGGCCCTCCCTCTCAGATAAGACTGTTCCTATCATAATAAGCTGCACCAGCTGGGTTTAGATGCTGTCACTGCCTGGCCAGCTACCTACCCAAGGAGCTGTGCTGTTTGCACAGTCGGCAGAAGACTAGGGAGCCATTGACGGAAGGGAGAGAAGATCAAGTGCATGTCCCATAATAGTAGCTATCTGGCTTTTTGTTCTGTCAAACACAAGCACATGTCAAATAATTGCATTTAACGTTCTGCAGTGTGCTTGCATGGAAGTGTACTAGTTAAACCCCCAGAGTAAAATGCACATATTGTACCATTACTTAATGTATGATTTTTTTTGGTGGGGATATCATGTAATTGTGTTTCAGGGGGGCAGCATGGAGCTGTGCAACCTTTCAGCGATGAGGATGCCTCCATCGAGACCCTCAGCCACTGCAGCAGCTTCAGTGACGCCATGAGTGTGGCAGACGAAGGTGTGTGATTGTGTGTGTACACATGCTTGCCTGTGTGTCCCAGTCATAAAGCAACAAAGGGCAAGTCAACAAAAATAAGTAAAGTACTGTAACAATTCAGTTGTGATAAATACCATACAGCCTTTTACGTTATGCTTTTGTCTTAAATGGTTCAAAGAATACGATCTACAAATGGAATAGCCTAGTACAAGTCTGTATTTCTCATGGTGTATTGTATTCGTCTTCCTATGTGTAGGGGGGGAGGCAGGCGAGGAGGCAGCCCAGGAGGATTTCCAGTACAAGCTGAAGGTTTTCATTGACAGCACCGTGGATAAGAGGCAAGTCTAAACCACTGTGGGGAAACTGATCTACCTGCTATTTCTCTGTTAGCTGTATTGCTTTCAGAAGACATGGAACCAGATCACATCATAGGCCTAGAACTGGGTCGATGGAACCTGAGATGTTAAATCTGTTATATAACGAACACAATGCAACAAGACGTCATCCTTTCCGTTCACAGATCGCTGCTGATAATTGAATTGAATCGTGAAGCTGTTACATAAGCTACTGCAGACACTAGGCCTAAATCTTTATTGTTATCTTACCTCGTTGACAGTGCCAAGACCAGACAAGGAGCCCTGGATGGGCTGAAGGCTGCCATGGCAACCAGGATCCTGTACGAGTTTATTTCGGACAGGAGGATGACCATCACCGACAGCATTGAGCGCTGTCTCAAGAAAGGTGAGCTACTACCACTACTACAGGCTTTGTCTTTCACCAATTCATGCTTCATATTCACCGAATACCAATACAGACCCACATTGTATTATTTATGTGTTTGAATCTAGAGTTCTGGTTCAGCAGTTACTGTAATCCCTCTCTCAAAGCTACTGAGGATGGTAGGAGTGGCTATAGAGTCAGCTATCTGTCATGTCTTTAATCTGAGCCTAGAGGAAAGTCTTTGTCCTCAGGTCTGGAGAGAAGCCAAAGTCAGTACGCTACCCAAGAGTGGTAAAGCAGACCTATCAGCTTGCTGCCAGCGCTTAGCAAACTGTTGAAAATAAATTGTTTGACCAAATACAATGCTACTTCTCTGTAAACAAATTAACAAGACTATCAGCCTGCTTATAGAGAAGGGCATTCAACATGTACTGCACTGACACAAATGACTGATTGGTTGAAATAAATGTATATTAAGAAGATTGTGGGAGCTGTACTGTTAGATTTCAGTGCAGCCTTTGATGTTATTGACCATAACCTGTTGAGAACTTGTGTAATTGCTTTTCAGCCTCTGCCATATCGTCGCTTGAGAGCTATCCATCTAATAGAACTGAGGGTTTTCTTTAATGGAAGCGTCTCTAATGTCCAACATGTCAAGTGTGGTGTACCGCAGGGCAGCTCTCAAGGCCCTCCACTCTTTTCTATTTTTACCAATGACCTGCCACTGGCTTTAAACAAAGCATGTGTCCATTTGTGCTGATGATTCAACCATATACGCATCAGCAACCACAGCTAATGAAGTCACTGAAACCCTTAACAAAGAATTGCAGTCTGTTTTGGAATGGGTGGCCAGTAATAAACTGGTCCTGAACATCTCTAAAACTGAGCATTATATTTGGTACAAATCATTCCCTAAGTTCTAGACCTCAGCTGAATCTGGTAATGAATGGTGTGGCTGTTGAACAAGTTGAGGAGACTAAATTACTTGGCGTTACCTTAGATTGTAAACTGTCATGGTCAAAACGTATAGATTCAATGGTTGTAAAGATGGGGAGAGGTATGTCTGTAATAAAGAGATGCTCTGCTTTTTAGACACCACACTCCACAAAGCAAGTCCTGCAGGCTGTAGTTTTATCTTATCTTGATTATTGTCCATTCATGTGGTCAAGTGCTGCAAAGAAAGACCTAGTTAAGCTGCAGCTGGTCCAGAACCGGGCATCACGTCTTGCTCTTCATTGTAATCAGAGGGCTAAAATTAATACTATGCATGCCAGTCTCTCTTGGCTACGAGTTGAGGAAAGACTGACTGCGTCACTTGTTTTTATAAGAAACATTCATGTTGGAACTCCCTTCCATCTTATATAGCGCAAGTCAACAGCAAACCTGGTTTAAAAAAAAAAAAAATAACACAATGCCTCTCCCCCATGTGACCTACTTGTTGTGTGTATGTACTGGCGTATGTGTAACTGATAGATGCGCACACACGCTACATGTTAATGTGTGTAAATTGTAAAGTATTTTGTCTGTAATGTATTTTTTGTTATACGTCAGACCCCAGAAAGACTAGCTGTTGCTAATGGGCATCCTAATAAATCAAATCCCTCTATCTCAGGTAAAGGACAGGAGCAGCGTGCGGCAGCCTCCCTGGCCTGTCTGCTGTGTATTCAGCTGGGCTCAGGCATCGAGAGCGAGGAGGTGTTCAAGACTCTCAAACCCATCTTCAAGAACATTCTTCTGGATGGAACAGCCAACATCCAAGCCAGACAAGCTGTGAGTATCTGCCTGGACCCTGTCATTAAAATAAGGTTGGTTTGCTATAAATTGCCTTTTATTGTTGTACTGAAAGCCTTTGTTATTTCGTTATAGTGTGCAACAAGTTTGGGCCTGTGCACTCTCGTGGTGGAAGATGACATCCTGGTATGTGGCTATGTTTGATGTTCCAATGTGATGTTATCTCTATGCTTGAGTGTATGTGGAAATACTTTTGTCTTTTGTGCTGCTGAAGCATTTGGCATTCTGTGTAACATTTATTCTGTTCAGCATTTGGAACAAGCTACGAAACCAAGACTACTCTCCAAATGACTGCATAGTCCAATCTCACACCCTGGTTTAACATAAAAGATTAACCCCTTTCTCTCTGTTGGGTCTCCAGGATGTGTATGCCACCATGGAGAGCTTTGAGATTTTGTTCATGCGTTCTTATGTGAAGGAGGATGGGAGTCGCCCCTCTCTCAACCCCCAGACCACCCTGCTCCACACCAATGCCCTCCTCTCCTGGGCCCTGCTACTCACAATCTGCACAGCCAGCCAGGTCAAAGCAGTCACACATAAGTATGTACTTAACGCGAACCTCTAAGTCTCTCTGGGACACAACTTTCAGTCCGTTTCAGCCTATAGGTCCTTGGCTGCATCTGATCAAAACAATATGGTGAATGTGCGTGCCTGAGATGTCCTTACCTCTCCAGTTGTCGTACCAGTGTAATGAAGGAAATATCATGGTGACGGGAAGCCTTAAATTGAAAGTCTACTTGTTTTTGTCTTTCAGGCACCTGCCCAAACTACCCCGGTTGTTGGAGAACGATGACGTCAACATGAGGATAGCAGCGGGAGAGACCATCGCTCTGCTGTTTGAGCTGGCTAGGGACAAGGACCCTGTAAGTGCTCACCTGTTCTTTGGTCTATGTTTCAATTCAGGAGATTCATTGAGATTTCATTTAGAAAGTGCTGTTCAAAGCTCGCATTGGATTTTCAATCCCCTTGTACTAGGGATGGGGGGTTGAAATCTTCCTATTCGAATAGTATCATGAATTTGTCAGATAGCTGGACATTCGAAAGAATGTGTATTTTTTTAATGTACGTTTTTAACCTGAGCATTGCTGCAGCTGCAGAGGTGCCGGTTATATAGGAGCGAGCAGACGGCGGCAGAGAGAGGGAAGCTACAGCCAAGACTAGCTAACTTGTAGCAGCCACAATGTTATTTATCCCATATAACCGAGCCTGTTTTGTCTGGAGTAGCCTTGAAAAGCTAGCTAGCTAGGCTAATTGAGGACACATTTTGCGATTTCTCCCCAACACCCATTCAGATGAAATGGCCTACCTGTTAGTTGCTCGTTGTAGCCTATTCCTTCTCATTTCGGTAACTTTTTTTAAATTCTGTAAATTTATTTAATCTTTCATTGCATTAGTGAACTCTCACTACATATGCTAAACATTGACACTCTTTGCTTGGCTAACATAAACAACAAGCTACACATGAAGGCCACAGTTATTTTTAAATATTTGTTTTATGGGGAGCACTGTTTTATAAAATGTATAATTTGTAATGTCATGCATGGTATATCCTTGTATGTAACATGGATATTTCAATTTAGAAAAAGCCTTTTCAGTTAAAATATGAGTATAGTTTTTGCTCAAAAATGAATACTAACATCTGTTTTGGATTTTCGTATAGCCGTACACATCCCCATCCTGTACTGAACTAAAATTGAATTTGACAGAAATACAGTGCCAGCATAGCATGTTAATCTGTAAACACTTCTTTAGTGATGACTGACCAGTGCTCTGTTGTGATGTTCTCAGGAGTTTGAGTATGATGACTGGGAGCCCCTGTGTGACAAGCTGAACTCTCTGGCCACCGACTGCAACAAACACCGTGCCAAGACTGACAAGAGGAAGCAGAGGTCGGTGTTCAGGGACGTGCTCAAGGCTGTGGAGGTGAGTGGGCAGATTATACAATAGTAGATGAGCACTGTCTGGGGAATAGAATTTAAATGTAATGTGATGACTCATTGCCGATTCATGGCGTGAGTTCTGTGCGCTTGTGTCGTCAGCTGGTTGCCATTGCCAACCTAATCTACCCCTCTAGTTATCAATGTTTACCCATTTGTTTGTCTTGTGAGAATCTAGAACAGTGTAGCCTTGCCTCAGCTGACCTGTGTGTGTGTTAGGAAGGGGACTTTCAGATTGAGACAATCCGCTTCAGCACTGAGCGTATGACCATCGACAGCTGGGTGAGGAAGAGGACTTACGACGCCTTCAGGGAGTTTGTGGGCTCTGGCATGAACTACCACCTACAGGCTAATGAGTTTATCCGTGATGTGTTTGAACTGGGACCACCCATGCTGGTTGACGCGGCCACACTAAAGTCCATGAAAATCTCCCGCTTCGAAAGGGTAAGTAACCTTACTAGACTGCATACTTTTCTTTCTTTGATGGCTAATTTAACTTTGATGGCTAATTTAACTATTTTCATTTATCTGACTTTATCTCCAGCCTTTATATTTAGCCTCGCAATTAAGTGTTTTACCATTTTATTTTCAGGACAACCAGGTCTACAAGTACATCACAAAACAATTTGACATAAACAGTTGCATTCTGTCAATTTTGTAGCTCAAACCATTTGGACTCTACAGATGTTTTTGTAAAAAGACCCAGCCCCTTCGGGATCCGCCCATGTCTCTAACACCGCTCTAGCGCACCCCACACACACCAATGAATGCTGAAGAAATAGATGAATCCAATGGTACAACCCAGCAGTCTATAGCTGAAACGCACAATATTGAAAAGTGGCTAGAAGTCCAAATCACACCTCCGTTGTGGTTGGACTCATTGGGTTAATTATTTATGTATTTACATTTCAAATGTGTAATTGGCGTGACATTCACATGGATATACTTCCAACGCAAAAAATAACCTGTATTTTATTGTGTTAACACTGCGGTCTTCTTTTCCAGCATCTCTACAACGCAGCTGCATTCAAGGCTCGGACAAAGGCCAGGAACAAGTTCAGAGACAAGAGGATTGACGTTGGGGAGTTTTGATGTGATTTAATGGTCCAACCTGCTCTTTTATAAACCATCAATTTAACCATCTTGAATATCACGGTTGTTACTATCCTTCATTTATCCAACAAGTGGTTGGTATTTGTAAATATTATTATTTATTTTGTCATTTAGCAGATGCTCTTATCCAGATAATAAAATGTCTCAAGTGATGCCCTATTCCCCATATAGGCTTGCCAGTGCACAAATTTTAGCCAGTGTGTGTATGTAGGGAATAAAGTGTCATGTGAGATGCAGACTTTGTTGCTCTGTTTTAATGTTTGTGTTCATTAATATTGAGATATATTATTTGAAAATGCACTAATTGGATAACACTTCCAATGGACTTTCCCCACTGAATCCTGGTGTATTTTGTTATATACAGAGTATACCAAACATTAGGAACTCCTTCCTAATATGGAGTCACCCCCCATTTCCCTCAGAACAGCCTCAATTCGTTGGGGGTTTCAAGTGTTCCACAGGGATGCTGGCTCATGTTTACTCCAATGCTTACCACAGTTGGATGTCCTTTGGCTGGATGTCCTTTGGGTGGTGGACCATTCCTGACGCACATGGGAAACTGAGTGTGTAAAACCCAGCAGTGTTGCAATTCTAAACACAAACCGGTGCACCTGGCAGCTACTGCCATACCCCATTCAAATGAATTTGAAAATTGTTTGTCTTGCCCGTTCATCCTCTGAAGGGCACACATACACAATCCATGTCTCAAGGCTTAAAAATCATTATTTAACCCATCTCCTCCCCTTCATCTACACTGATTGAAGGGGATTTAACAAGTGACATCAATAAGGGATCATAGCTTTCACCTGGTCAGTCTGTCATGTAAAGAGCGGGTGTTAATGTTTTGTACACAGTGTAGTTTAGTAGGTCTGTTGGGGAAGTGAGAAACTCAAATAAATACTTACTGAACAAGTCTCAATGTGCATTTCTTGATCTTCAGTACATATCACTAGGTCAATCATTGTTTATGACAAGTCCTCAAGCAGACCAGTCATAGGATAAGAAGCATGTTGAGCTGAAGTGTGTCATATTATGTAATGGTTTTCTGACTCACACAAGATCAGTATAATAATATGCCATTTAGCAGACGCTTTTAACCAAAGCGTGCATACATTTTTGTGTATGGTTGGTCCCGGGGATCGAACCCACTACCCTGGCGTTACAAGCGCCGTGCTCTACCAGCTGAGCTACAGAGGACCACAATGGCAGACTAATTTGGGGTCAGCTTTTCCAGGAAGCCGATTTCACATTTGATGAAGAGGAACTGCTTTACAGTTTCCTAGGCAACGGTCACGTTGACATTTCAGAGAATGTTGCCGTTTGTACAATGGGTCCTCCAGAGCGGCGTGCGCACTTTAGTCCTTGTGTAAACTGACATGAGGAAAGGACTGGGGAAGAAGATATGCAGCATTACAGTACTTGTATGACTGTTTCGTAATAGAACCCTAATGCTACACTGCAGAGATGCATGCTGCATGATTAAGTAACTTGTCAAACAACCAAGAACGTCCCTGCTTCTCTGGAGTTTGGATCCTAAACACTGCCAAATACCTGCTATCGATTATTAAAAAAACATTTATAGAGTCCTTAATTGAAACCATAAAGTGGTCATCCGCATCTTTTTTGGTAAGCTGAGGGATGGGCCTGGAGAAATGGGTCACGCTTTATTTGGATAGTCCATCATTTGGGTTAGTATTGTTAGAAATTGCGTAATTCAAATCTGGTATTGGGAACAAAAGAGGTCAATACACGTCTTCTAAATAGACTAGTATTTTAATTAATGCAAAACCTTCAATGGTAAATATGATGTTCGTATATACGGGTCCACTGAAATACCACGCAGGGCACTCAGAGAACTAATCCATTGTTCTGAGTTCTTCTTCAAATACTCTGACAGAGATATTTCCCACTCCCTGCTGGCCAATCAGAGTAGAGACTGAGCGTGGTTTAGACTTACTCAGCCAATCCGTTGGCGCACCGGCTGGTCCCAGCCTCTCGTCTGTAGCGCATCTACAGATGGACTATCCAAATAAAGTGTTATCGAGAAATGTAACCACTCTCAAATTCAGACAGAGCTATCGATGCAAGGACTGATATCAGAAGTATAGTTTTAACCATGTTTTGAGGCTATACAGTGTTTATGTTACCGGCCTCAGTCTGTAGCTGAGGTGGCCTATAATAGTAAAAAGAACGGACACAAGTTTACGTCTGCAAAGTTCTGGCGCTTTCTTTATTCGGAAGAATGGTGCACGCGCTTGGCCAGAACTTGCTGTTTCTCCTACTACCACAGTGCAACAGCGCCATCTATTGGCGTGATGGACTACTTATGCTAAAGCATGTAGAATATACAATTTAGATTAAGACAAATACATAAACAAATTGGTTTAAAAATAATAATAAAGGGGTGTCTGTTTTTAGTGACTTTGTTTTCAACCCATTACATTCTCCCCTCCTCTTTTTGATGACTCCTGGCATCTATTTGTTTGTCTGTCTATAGTCAAGTCAATTTCTAGTCAGTGTCTAGCATGTCCAGACAAGTGGTGTTCCTTCATGCCAGTAACCTCCTTGTAAAACTGGATAAGTCATCATGTTTCCAGGCACCATGTAAGAATTGAGCACAACTGCGTTTGCTCCTTGTCTCCATGACTGGTATGACGGGTGTCCCAAATATCTCATAGCTAAACATTTCTCTGGGCCTTCCAGTGTGCCAGGACCTTCTCACAGGTAAGTATTCCTTTCCATTGACCTCTTGCCACTGTACTAGCACAACATCTTGGAGTTCCTCCTGCACTTCATCCTCCATTATGTGCTGTTCAGGTCCTTCAGACTGTTGCTGGATCTGTTCTATTTCCTGTGCCACTGTAGGTCTGAACTCCTGAGCAGTAGCTTGCAGTCTGGTACGCCACTCTGGTAAACTTGGTCGCTCTGATGGACCCGAGGACTGTGCTGGTAAGTAGCTTTCATCTGAACTGTCCGATTCTTGGTCAATCATGTTACTGTTTGTTGTCTGTTTTTGTCTTGGTATTGTTCTTTTCGCAGGTTTGGTTGGAGTGTCTTGATGCACTGGCAAGTCATTTCCAGGCAACAGGAAGTTCCAGCGCAGCACACAAAGAGCTTTGTCTCCAGACTCTGACTGGATCTTATACACTGGAAGTCTCTAATTCTCTCCACAACTCGGTGTACTTTTTTACCCCAGTAAGCACGGAGTTTCCCGGGGCCACCTCTTTCTGATAGGTTCCTCACAAGGACTCAATCACGTGGCTGTAGAGTTGCACCTTTGACACCTTTGTCGTAGTACTTCTTCCCTTTCACGGAGGACTTTTGACTGTTCTCAGAAGTGATTTTGTATGTGTCTTGCATCTTTGTTGCCCACTTCTCTGCGAATGTTTGTTGGGTTCTTGTCACTGTTTCTGGTTTGAGGTTGAACAGTAGGTCGATAGGAAGGCGTGGGGCTCTGCCATACAGGAGGAAAAATTGTGAGTATCCCGTTGCCTCGTGCCTTGTACTGTTATAGGCATGGACGATGTTTGTTAGATGGTCTTTCCACTCTGTAGGAGTGTTCTATTCATCCTTTCCACAGGGTTCCCTTGTAGTTTGAGAGTGTGAGATCCCTGCAAGCTGCTGGAGTCTCTGGAACAGGTTGTTCTCAAACTCTCGCACTTGGTCGTGATGAAGCTTACTAGGATAGCCAAACCGAGGAATTAACTCTTAGAATATCTTCTCGGTTGCAGTTCTTCCTGACTTGTTCTTCGTTGGGTAGGCCTGTGCAAAGCGTGTGAAATGATCGACCAGTACAATAATATATTCATAGCCTCCTTTGCTTGGCTCAAGGTGCATATAGTCGACGGAGAGAAGCAATTGGTGCTTTCTCTGGAACACAGGGATGTTTCTGCTTGATACATGCACATTGTCAGATCACATAGTCTTCTACTTCACGCTGCATGAATGGCCAGTAAAATCTTTCCCTGACTAGATGGATCACTTTGTCTGCTCCGACGTGGCCCATGTCGTCATCTAAGTTCTTCAGCACCACTGATTTCAGTTTGCTGGGTAGTACAAGTTGCTTTCGTTGTCCAGCCTGTCTGCACAGGATTCCATTTTCCATGACCAGCTTGTTCCACTCATGGACTAGTCTCGTTATTTCTGGTCCCATGAGCTTTTTCTCTTTCTCATTTGGATTCCATCTTTTGTTTTTCAGCGAGATGATTTCTCTGATTGCAGCATCCTCATGCTGGGCAGCCTTGATATTCTCTGGTGTGATGGCAGGCACTCCTTCAGGTGATACACCACCCTCTCCAGAGTTGACTTGCAGCGCAGCCACCCATGGAACATCCTCATTTTTCACTGCTCTGCTTCCTTGCCATACCGCTGAGATTACTTCTGGTGGCATAGATTCTGTGTATTTACCCACGTGGTTGTGGAGAACGACAGGACAACGAGACAGTGTGTTAGCGTCTGCATTCATTTTCCCAGGTCTGTATTTCAGGTCGAAGTGAAAGTCGGCCAACTCCCGACCCAGCGGTGACCTACGTCGTTGAGTCTAGCTGTGCTCAGAAGATAGGTCAAAGGGTTGTTGTCTGTGTATACGGTAAAGGTGGGTGCATAGTATAGATAGTCTCTAAATTTGTCACAGATCACCCATTTAAGTGCTAAAAACTCAAGTTTGCCAGAGTGGAGGTGGTAGTATTTCTCTGCTGGAGTTAGCGTTCTGGACCCATACCCGATTACACGTAGTCTCCCGTTCTGATGTTGGTAAAGGACAGCCCCTAGACCCTCATTGGAAGCGTCAGTGTGTAGCACAAATGGTAAGTCACAGTCTGGGTATGCTAGTATGGGTGGATTGGTTAGCATGTCCACCAACTTGGCTACGATGGCTCTGTGTACAGCCGTTCATTGGACTGGTGTCTTGGGATGCCATTGTCCATTGCTAACCTTTTTGGCCTGGGTTTTTCTTCTGGTTGATTTGGGCATGGCAGTTTTCCCCTTTTCTTCTGATGGACTTTGTAGCAGCTCAAATAGGGGTTTGGCCATCCTGGAGAAATCTTGGATGAACGACCTGTAGTAGCCGAAGAATCCCAGCAGTGTTCTGACCTCTCCAACTGTCTGTGGCTCCCTCTCCTTTAGCCGCAACACAGCCTCCAAGTCTTTTGGGTCGATTTGTACTCCCTTGCTGGATACGATCCGAGGGAAAATGGTATTTGATCCCCTGCTGATTTTGTACGTTTGCCCACTGACAAAGAAATGATCGGTCTATAATTTTAATGGTAGGTTTATTTGAGAGACAGAATAACAACAAAAAAATCCAGAAAAACGCATGTCAAAAATGTTATAAATTGATTTGCATTTTAATGAGGGAAATAAGTATTTGACCCCTCTGCAAAACATGACTTAGTACTTGGTGGCAAAACCCTTGTTGGCAATCACAGAGGTCAGACGTTTCTTGTAGTTGGCCACCAGGTTTGC